AAATCTAAAGAGCAGCTACAGTCTACCCCTCCGCTCCTCTTTTTTCAAGTTACGCTCGACTGTTCGAATATTCGCCAATTTCAAGTGCAGTTAAGCTTTTACGTTAAAGGATGACTGCATGAAGCAAATTTCTGTCTTCTGATTTCAAAATGTCCTCTTTTTTACTTAAATTATTTGCTTGCAATATCTTTTAAAGGAACCTGATATACGATAAAATTGAAAATGTTCAGATTTGTTTTAAATTAGTTAAACATCAATATGATAGGAAAATAATTGGTATTTATTATTAAGTTCCAAGCGAATAGAATAAAATGCCTTATTATTATTATTTCCTCTATTTTGAACTGAAATTCATCATTAAATCTTGTAATATAGTTTAGTTCTGCATAGTTTTTTCTCTCATTGTAAACTAGTTCTGTAATTGAACTGTTATTTAAAATTTAAAAAGTAATTAATTTTTCCATGGTTGAGGTAATGCTTATTCTCTCTAATAAATACTGCATTTCTCATATTTTAATCACGAGTCTAATTTTAAGGTTGCAGTTAATGTAATTAGACAGGTGCTTATATTTTTTCTTAAAATGTGCTTGAAAAGTGCTTATTGGTGCTTATTTTTTTTAACTAAAATGTGGCTATGAACCCTGTTAAAAGTGTCAGCAAAAACATGCTGATGGCTTCTGAAAAACATTACATATCTGTTGGATACATATCTGATCGGCTCTTCCATTGAGAACACTAATACTCTTAAATTGAAATACCCTCCCAAAAGAAGGAAGAACCACAAGAATTCTTCGTCGAATAGACTTTTGAACTTTGCTTTTTATTTTGCAAATTTCACTTTGTAAGGTGAAAGTATGTTACGTATAGTAAATAATAATGTAATAGTATTTAAACTTAACTACTACTTCCTCTATGATTTTCAACTTATGTTTTTATGTTACTTTTCCCTGCTGTAGGATAACAATGCAGGTTGTTAATTTTAAATGTTGATAAAATGCAGTGCTACCTTACTTAGTGTTTTTTTTTTTTTTTTTTTTTTTTGTTAGCAATTCTAATTTTAAGCTACATTTAACTGAATAAATGGTTTATTTTTAATATTATAATATTCATCTGGAGAAATTACAGTTGAGTGATTTAAAAGCCATCCATGACTTTTTGTTTTGCTGCTGTTATTTACAATCTATTTACATTAGATAATTGCTGCATTTAATTGGCCTGAAATCATATGGCTGTGGTAAGGAATTGGATGGCATAGGATCATTGAAAGTGATAAAACTTAATGTTTTCTTTGTATTTGGTAAAGTTATTTTTATTTTCAACAATAGCAATATTGGAAAAAATTGTTAATACAGTACAAAGTCGGGATTTCGGCAATTCCGGATTAGGGTTTTTTTCTGGATTATAGATCATCATTTGGTGTTGCATTTTCAATCTTGGGTAGTGTATAAGAAAAAATTGAGATGTTTTACAACTTTTAAAACTAATAACATTAAAACTGTTTTAATTATGAAGAACTGTATAAACTAATTAGAATTCTATTGTATTTTCAGATGATTTCTGTCTGTCTGTTTTTTGAATTTTGTAATGTCAACAGTATTGTGATTCTCTTTGTAATAAAATGCAAGAAATAATCAAAACTCATTTGAATTTTACAGATACAGTAAACGTCTCTTAATATAAAGTCGCTTAAAGCGAATATTCAGTTAACGGAAACAAAATTTTGGTCCCTAGAACAACGTGTTTATTATCTTGTAGATGGTTAATGTATTACAAAAATTTAATTAATTTATAAATACATAAATAACAAATCTGAAAGCCTTCTTTAAACTTAAAAAAATAAAAGATAAAAATAATAAATAAACTTTTTAAAGCAGATTTTGTATCATACTTAAAGTGACATTTTTTTCATTAACACACTCAAACGTGTTTCAAGAGTATTTATGCTAACACTGCTCTGGGCTAAAAATATTTAAAAACAGCATATCTTTAGAATTTCCGAAAGACAGTCTTGCATGTTGGAGTTAAAAATGTATTTTTCCATACAGTGCTCGCTTTGAAATCGTTGAGTTGATTATTCAAAAATTTGTAAGTTTTACAAAAAATATGAAAGAGATAATAAAACAAATTCGGGCTTCCAGGTGCCTATGTTTGGGTGGAGGCTTATGTTATTCAAAATTTGATGGCTCCCGATACCATTGTTTTTTCAAATTGCTAGAAACATAATACATCCATGCGGATTTTTTATTATTTAATTTCTTTAAATATAATACAGGGCCATAATATTTGATGGCAACAATTTGAAAAGTGATTCGACACAAAATGCCGTTTTGAGACTATTAGCTCTTCTGGGCTAATGCCGCTTTGGGCTAAAAATTATTCAAAAAATAATTTCAGTCTCCAGTAAACATGATTTTTTTTTTTTTTTTTTTTTTTTAAAACATATACTCTTTTTTAATCTCTTGAGATTTGTGTTAATGAGGGTTTACTGTAAATTGTTATGCTCTTGCTTCTAAAAGGACATGTTGAAAAGAAACTATAAGTGAAACTTATGTAATCTTTGTTGTGAGTTTTAAATAAATATATTTCCTGTATTTAAATCTTGCATATTCATGAATACAGAAATTAGAAATATGAGCTCACTGCATATGTATTTTGATGGTTTTTCCAATGTACAGTGAATTGTATATACAGTGTGCTGTATATATTTCAATATACAGGGCAAATATGACCTAGTTTAAGTCTTAAAAAGAAGTAATTTCTTTTAGATCTGCCTCATGTATTTTGCTGTATGTGGCTGCAGTTTACTTTTTAACTGTTTTTTCAATTCTAAAGATCTTACAGTGGGAAACTATTGTTTTATAAGAACTGTCTGAGAATTTGTAGGTAAATACACTGACAGGGGGGGGGGAATCTATGCACACTACATGCTGATTTTGCTTAAAAGTTACTGTAGCTCTGAAGTTGACGACATATTTTCAGCTGTCAACCATCTTGAAGCAGCTTGGCTTTTACAGAAGATCCTTCCAGTGGAAAGTGTATGTTTTTTTTTCCCTTAACATAAAAATTGGAATCAACAACAGTCAATTTGAGTTGTGGCAAACTGAGATTCTACTTACTGATATTCTTTGCTAGATGTACTAACTCTCTCTTATCTGAATGCCACTGAAGGTATTGCTTGTTCTTGAGCAATATGCTTATATTGAACTGAATTCAAGATCATCGTCTTTACCTCTGGCCACTATTGCTTATTCTATTCATTTAAAGAGTTAATTAGATTTGAACAATCGGAAGTGGTACTTTTCTTGAAAACCATAATAATTTTTAGTATTAATATATAATCTGCAACTTTAATATTTAAAATTTTTTTTATCAATGGGGACAACATATTGCATTTTAGCTAAAACTGATAAACCAGAAGTGATGTTTTATTTAAAGCTTTGAACTTTTTTTTGTGAAAGATATATTATATAATCCAAAATTTCTCTGATTTGGTATTTAAAACTTATATATGCATATATGATACATATGCAATTATGACATATTGGATATATGTTAAATCAGAAGTGGTACTTTACTTCGAATCTTAACAGACTTTTGTAAAAAATATAGTCACGAGTTTGAACTAAAAAAATGCAGCACATATTAAGGCTATTTCTATTATATCCTAATGTACTATTTATTTATATCAAGCCATAGAGGAGAAGGATTTTTATAACAGTTTCATTTGCAGAACATGTAACTCTTATCAGGCATGTTACCAAAAAATGCACTTATTGTTTTCTTACACTGTTAATGATGACAAGGCGGAAGAGCAAATATCAAATCTGAAAACTCTATTGCTTTACATTTTTATTGATCCTGAAATGCACAGTAGCGACCATTAATTTATAACTCCAAAAACTAACAAACATTGTTTATTTATACCTAAATATCTCGGGGATATACGTGCAGATAAAAATAAATTTATGTTTGTTGATAATATAGAAATAACATAGAAAATTAAATTAGGTATGTATTCATTTAAAATATTTATTTTAAATATATACGTAATATTTATATATTATAAATACTTTATTTCCTTTAATTAACCCTCTGAATGCCATGATCGGCTTTATCTGGTCATGTAATTTTTTTTTTGCCACTTATTAGCTTATAATTCAAGATGTTTTGCTTTCTTACATTCTTTAATAATATAAATGTAAGTTTATGAAAGTAGAGACTTAAATAAGTAAATATACAAATTTACCTAATAAAATATATTTAAATACAGATCCTTCATGACAGATCCAAAAACCCATGCTGCTCAGAGGGTTAAAAACCACTGAAATTATGAGTTATTTCAACTTCCCAATAAAAGACGATATTTAATAAAAAGAAATGCAGGGGCAGACACATTTAATTACGTTGATATAAATTTAGAAAAGCCAGTTTCTACACATGTCCAATTATATCTCATAAAATATAATTCAAAACTTTGTATTACAGACTTTTTTATTTATTAAGACAATAAATTAGATTTTTTGTACAAACGATCAGTTGGAAGTCATACTTATTCAAAGCTCGTTGCTATTTAAAACTTGGAATTACCAAGAGGTTTGTGCCAGCCACACTACTATCTGGAATCTATTACTTTTAGCATGATATTTATAATCCTTATTCTTTTATGATCATATAATTTTATTTATTTGTACAAATTTTATGAGGCTTAAAATGTGTTTAGTACTATTATTGGATTTAAAATGAATTTTATACATTTATCACATGGGCAGGTCATGTGACCAAAAATATCAAAATTAATGTGTGCTGTCATATGTGGCTCATTATTGAGAATACAATAGTTCTTTCTTATCATTAATAATTAATTTTACTGCACTCATAAGTTTTGAATATAGTTATTATTTGGAAAAAATTGCTGTGTTTTGCATTATTGTTATAGATCTAAAATTGATATATCATAATACATAAATGATATTACAAGTATGTAATATTTTCATTTTTAGGCTTATTCAACTATCATGGATAAAGAAGATGATGTGGATTCAAAAAAAGAGTCTATTATATCTAGGTTTACTCTCGATGGTGTTGTTGTTGATGAGGTAATTGAAGTTGATGAAGATAATGAACATCTGTCTCATAAGACATTAAAAATAAATGATCTAGAAGATTGTAAAGAGACGAAAACTTACTCTAGTGAGAGCGATGATTCTCCCATTAAGAAATCTTCATTTGACAAATGTGTACAGCAAGAAACAGATGTACTTCCTGAACAGACTGAAAGAAAAGCTGAGGATGATTACTCTCCAAGAAATGAAAATTATTTGAGTGTTAATGGTATGAAAATATATTTTCAATTATAATTTGTATTCAGTGTAAAATGTTGATTTATTTTAAATAAATATTTTTATTCTGCATATAGAATGTGAATTAATATCTTGGATAAAATATTATGTTCTGTCTTTTAAATGAATAAAATAAAATAACCCTTTATTTAATACACATTTAAAAAATATATGCTAAAATAATAAAAAATATTCTCTTAAAATATAGAAGTACATTAAGCTCTTTTTAACGTTATATAACAATATTTGATAATTTCATTGAGGTAATTAAGAATATAGTTTATTATATAAATAGTGTCTCATGCCCTTTTTTCAGAAATTACCTTATATCAGGGGTTCTTAACCCCTTGCCTGCGAAGCTATTTTTGTGCACCCGCGACAGTCCGCTATATACTGTATTAGTATCAACAGTGGCCAACCTGTGGCCGAAAAATTGCTTTAAATGTAACTATTTTGAATTTTTTTTTACCTTTTTAACGTATATTTCACTGCACATGCCAGCATTTCCTGTTTGTCAGATGTGCCCGGACGGGAAATAAGATTAAGAACCCCTGCCTTATATGGTGCAATCTTTGTGGCTTGACGAATAGAGTTGAAATCCTTGTATTCAGGTATTCATTAATTCATGGTTCAAAGTCTTTTGAAGTATCAAAATGTACCCGAAGTGATAAACAGCCTATGGTCAAATGTGAAATACAGCCACTGAAATAAGCTAAGCGCTACACCCCCCACTGTGATCATGACTACAGTCAAAAGTCTTTAATCCGGACTCGTCGGGACTTCCGCGATTCCGGATTATCGATTTTTCCGGATTATAGATCATCAGTTTAAATCTGGTAAGATGGCATGCAGAAGAATTATAAATTAAAAATATGAAACCGTAATTTATTAAATAAGAACAATTATGATCTAAAGGGTATCAAAATTTTACAAAAAAAAAGCTTAATTTATTTGTTTACTTTATTAAACATTTCTTTCAACGCGCATGTGTAAAGCATACATTACGCATAGCGAATTAGAAAATTGCAACCAGAAACTATTTGATGTGTATTTGTGTATTTATAATGATGAAAGGAATTTGATTTAAATCATATCAAAGACGGAGTACATCGAGATTAAATACTACATTTAGTAAGGAATTATAAGCCGAATAAAATAAAAACATCTGCCCTGAAGATAAGATAGTGCTTGACAAATCAACTTCCAGTTCATTGCGCCGTGCGCGATGTCCCCCCCCCCGCAGAGCAGCGTGAAATTGATAAACAGATTTCGGAACGGTTAGATAAACAAAGGATATGCCTTTATCCATTTTTTGTAGCAATTCGTTTTTGTTTGAATGGACATCGAAACATACTTTCGTTTAGATCCTTGGGAGCTCCAGCATCGAAATTCTATTTGACATAATCGAAAGTTCAAGCTTACTTTTATAAAATTGCTCTAACAGTCTGCAAAAAATAATAAGCCGGATCCAATTCGAAGATTAAGGAACAACGCAATCATCAACTTAACCGAATAGATAATTTAGCTTTATACCGTCGTTATACATTAAAGCGCACGCGAAAACGTATTCTGCGCAGGCGCAGTCGTAAAGTCCAGCCGTAAAAACCTATGCTCACGTAATTGCACGCATGCGCAGAAAGATTTTAGCTTTGAGGTCCGGATTATAGATCATTCCGGATTATGGGTGTCCGAATTAACGACTTTTGACTGTATACGCATATGCACACATTTTCCTAATAGATGTAACTATATTGGAAGGGGGCAATGAATATAGACCTCTTTTTGGAACTTTATGTACATTCTCAGTTTGAGGTAGCTTATGAGAATTGAGTTTTTCTTAGTTGATCTTTGTCCTTTGAGAGCTATAAAAATGTCATTTTTAGTATCTTTAACCTTTTCATGGTCTTCAAATGAGCTCAGCTCGCATTCCAGTTAACCACTGCAATGGGCGCACATGAACACAGCTTGCATTATAAATTTGCAACCAACAGATATCGCAATTAAATTGCACATTGCTTTAATATATTTCTTTCTTAGGTACACTGTGCAAAAAAAAAAGGGGGGGGTCAGTTCTATATCTTCTGTTCTACTGGGCCGATTGATGAAATTCAACTTGCATTTTTCATGTCTCAAAAGTGCGACTTAGGATATGTATTAGATTTATAGCTTTATTCTAATATAGGTATTTTGACACAAAATCAGACTTTTTCTGAACCAACATATCAATTTTTTTTCACATTTTGATTCTACGATTCAAATTATGCCAAACTGCCAAGTTTCGTAAAACTCAAAAGAGTGTCTTAAAAAATAGCCTTAAATTTTAGTCCCTCAATGTTAATTGAATTTGATATTATTATTAATACTCTTTTTTTAAAATAATCTTCTTGTTCTTCTCCAGAATTCGAAATTTAGGTTCTTTTTAAAAAATTTCCCATTTTATGATCATTTCTAAAATTTGTATTTTTAAAATTTTTGTCAATTTTTTGGAAAAAAATTTTGAATTATAATCTATAAAATTTTTACCATCACCTCAAAGTAGATGTATTTCTGAGCTTACCAGCAAAAAAATTAGTTTTTTTATTTAAAATTTTGTAAGATATACATGAATTTACATATTGCTGTGTTTTAAAATTCGGCATATTAATTATAAGCGATAACAATGCCATATATGGCTTGCACACTTTTTTTAAAATTATTTGAAAGTATGAGTGATGACATTTTTTCCGCTCATGTACAATGAAAAAAAGGAAAGGAAAATAAGTTGCAATAAATTAAGAAGTTTGCCAAGTGAATGCTAGGGCAAATGAAAAAAAAGGCATCAAGATAAATTTTTGAATTTCTGTGTAAATTTTGCACTAGATTTTACAAAATTTAGTATTTTTGCATAATTGAGTGTAGAATCGAAATGTGGAAAAAAAATTGGCATGCCATTTCAGAAACAGTCCGATTTAAAGAAAACGTATGATGTAAAAAACCTATATTGAACTATGCTATATATCAACTAATATATATCAAAGCGGCATTCGATACTTAAAAGAGCAATTGAATTTCGTGAATGGGCCCAGTAGAACGGGAGATATAGAACTGTCCCAATTTTTTTTGTGCAGTTTACGTGGTTTAAGTAATTGATTTATAATAAATTTTCAATCTTCCTAGTAAAAATGACTGAAAAATAAACTGACAAGAATGAACTATAATGCATATTTAATTTTTATGTGTTTATTGTTGCAAGAATATTTGTGTTAATGATAAAGAATTTAGAATTAAGTGATTTTTCTTTTTGACGTATATGGATTCTCCTTGTATCAGCTGTTTTAATATTTTATATGGGATCTAAGTTTATAAAATTAGTTATTTCAAAAATAAAGTATTTTATATTTATTTATTTATTTATTTATTTACTAGATGGGGAAAATTCTGTAAATGAGGAAAATATTTCATCTCGAAAGGAAACTGAAAAAGATTGCTTGAAAGAGAATAAAGAACTAGACTCAGTTTCCAACAATGAGATGGAAGCTGATCAGTCTCGGGATGAAAGAAATAATTTGACTCACAAAGAACTTGAACTGGATCATTATTCCAGTGAAGTAACTGAAGTGAATGAAAATGGGAAAAAAAAAAGTAAATCAGGTCTGAACAAAAATCTGAATTCACTTCCATCTCAGAAAGAAATTGAGGCTGATGAGCCACAAGACCATGAATCTGGATTAGATAAACTTCATGGAAAAGAAAAAGAATTAAGTAAAGGTCTTTTTATTTGAATATTAAAATATCTTGTTTGAAATAAAAAATTAAATATAAATATATAATGCATAAAATTTCTTGTAATAAAATACTTTATTTTTTATATCTATGCAATATTTTCATGTATTTTCTTCAGATTTTGAAAAAAATACTGTATACATGGTACTTTGTAATGTCTGCACCCCAACTTTACAGATAAAATTCATGTAAAAAAAAGTGACTTGCACAATGTCCACACTCCAAAAACTAAAGAATGTCTTACTTTAAAGTACATATTTTTTAACATCGCCTTTTTCCATATAATCAATAACATTTGTCAATAAACATCTTTAAAGAAAGAATATGCATTTGTTTTATCTTTGGTTGGTGCCAGGATGGAAAAGCAGAGACTTTCCTTGCATTCTGGTGAAGCTGTTATTCAGTCATAACATCAGTGCCAGCAAGCCACTCAGCAGATGCGATAATAAATGAAGGCAGTCCAAACGTCGCAATGCAAGGCAAGTGAAGGCTGGTTTTAGCAAATGATGAAACGAAATGGATTTTCATACTGTGTGTCGGAACTAATACGTGCCAAGTGTTGATAATGTAAATGGGGTAATCTACATATATGTGGATGAGACAAAGTGAGTTTGTAAATTTTAGGTAGCTATTAGACAACTTTGATGTTGATACTTTTATTACTTATGCCATTTTCTTCCACTTAGAACTTAACTTGGCTGTTTGAACTGAAATTTACACCCAAATTTACTCACAAGAAAAGTTCGACATTTGAACAACCTGTGTAATGTCCATACCTGCATTTTAGTGATGTCATTTTCGTAAAAAAAGTGTGGGCATTACGTGAGCGCATACGGTATGTGTAATGTTGATTGACTATAAATGTGTGCTGTATGATTTTTTATTATATAATTGTATTAAATGAAAGTTTTTTAATATTGCTTAATTTTGCTGTACTTATTTGAAAAGTTAATTTAGATGATTGTGATTTTAAAAATACAACTCAATCTATATATTTTGATATATAGGTATTTCTGCAATACTTTTAGTTATTATATTCCATCCTCTTTCTTTTGTTTATACATATATGTAAGTGTCACTTATAACATATCAAATTTGAAAAAGAGAAATTCCCAATGATGAGATAATAACATGGCAGTGAAGATGTACAGAAAATTTGTAAAACATAGTGAATTATGTAGTTTTAATCAAAATCAGTGCAAAAAACTTCTAGCCATTATGAAAGTGAACAAGGAGGACATCTACTGTTGTATGCTATAGGAATTTCATGAGTAGCATTCCCAGAAATGCTGTAAGAAACATTACAGTATAGATTCTAAAGCTGCATTTATTTCTTAGTGCTGTCATATAAATCGTTTAGAATAGAAAATTTCAATCTATCAGTTCATCATAAATCTAGAAAACTGAAAGACACATGATAATTGATATGTTTAATCATGCAAGTTTGGGTTGAAGAAATAAATACTATCAAAATGAGTATTTTTACTTACTTCTGTCAACTTGCTAACATTATAACGGAAGAATTTGAACATGAGTATATGACAGCTATTTATTTTGAGCTTCATCTGAAAAACAATATGTGCATTCCTGTGTGCTTTTTAATGCTTGATATCCAAACAATTGCCTACAATGCCGAAGTAGTTACCAGTGTTCATTTACCAAGGCATGTTTCTACAGCAGGATGGAACGAGAGCACATACAAATAGAATGTTTTTGGAAGGATTATAAGGTATTTCTCCTGCCTTCGTGGTGTGGAAGTCCATGGTTTGATTCCGGTGAAGGCGTTTCTCATTTTTCATTGCTCCTGTTTCCAAAAAATCCTAGTTTCTCTACAGGATAACCAGTGTAATGCCAAATTAGCACTTGCTCACTTCATTGCATCTTATGCCATTACCTTTCTACTTGTTCTAAAAGTCACAGATATTGATGAAAATAAATGTTCAAACTTGATTTATTCTTCACATTATTTTATTTATTTTCAGACATTATTTTATGTCCATATAAATGACAGTGTAGAGGGAAAAACTGAGGAATTTCCATATTTCAACAAAAAAAGCTTCTGTTAGTACCTTTCCATATTTTTTTAGTAATCTTTTTCTTTCCCAGTGCGGATTTTGTGAAACTTTTTGATATAACTTAATTACTTTTATTATTTGTTATTTTCCTCTTAAAATTTCTGAATTAAAAAAAAATAGTATCTTGCTTTTATTTTCATCTGAAATTAAAGCTCATCAATCTTTTTATTTTTTTTTTGTAACATATAAGATTTTGAACTTGCAATATATAAATTAGCAAAAGAAAATATTGTTGAGAATTAAGCATTTAATTGATGTTATGTGCAGTTTTAGTGGCATCATTCTTGTGTTGTATTATTATGTTTTATGCATCTGGCATCACTGTTATTTCTGCCATTCTAAAGTTTTTATGTAAATAAGACGTACAGAAAGTTTCTTTACTTTTTTTTATTAAAGTCCGAAATTCATTTAGCCATCACTCTGTTTCGTTAATTTTATAACAGGTTATGGGTTTTAGTAAATAAGTAAAATAAAGTAACGATGGCTATGTTGACATATTTGAATTACGGAATTTTGACTTCCGGTTTTGATTTCAATACTTCCTGAACAATGTGTAGGTAGACACTACAGTGTACCAATAACTTTTTTTCTGCTGCATATTCCCTGGTTAATGACGATGTATTATGAAAGCTAAAAATTTTGTTCAATGTACCAAATTGGAAGGTGTATCCAACTGGAGTGATTGGAAATTTGAAATAAACTCTTTGTTTGTGCTCAACAATTGTGTGGGCATCTTCGATAATTCCCTTGTTGAGTAAAAAGCATCGGAAGAAGGTGCGAATGAAAAGACGATACGCGAGTACAGCGAAGCTGCAAAGGCGAATGTGAACATTGCTGTGATTATTCACACAAATGTATCCCTGAATGTGTTAAATTTGATCCATATGCTTGGTAATTCTGCACTAGCGATATGGAATGAGTTGTTAAGTAATTTTGAGAAGGTGTCAAGCTACAACAATTTTTTACCTTTCGGATCGAGAATGACGAAAGTGTAATCACTCGCACATTTACGTACACTGTGGGTGGATCTTCAACGTGAGCAAGAGTTGAGCGGCAAAGAAAAGTTGCCGCAGAACTTGCTAGCACCACGAATCTTATCTATTCTTCCTGATGACGAATATCTTGAGTTCAAATCACATTATGCCAAAGATGGAAAAGTCACTTGTTGTCAAAACTGGTTGAACAGATCAACGTGCGACTGCAAAGAAGTAATCAAGTACTTAGAAACCAAAGTACGATAACATTCATGGCAAATGCTAATTTTGGCACAAAACATAGTGGAAAGAAATGGAAGAAGGGTGGTAAAAAACCTCAGATGGTCAGCCAACCCCAACTTTGACAACAAATAATGCCAAAACGATGAACAGAGTTAGTAAGACCGGTGATGATGTGAAAGGTTTCAGTGGCATCTGTTTTCATTGTAATAAACCCAGGCACATTGATAAATTTTATCCAGTTTTTCCTGACATGCCAACCACGATGAATGGCAAAACAGAAACATTCTGTGCAGATACTCAAAGCAGTGCGTTTGCTTGTCAAGAAGATGATTGTGGCCAAAATGTGCTTGTCAAGAAGATGATTGTGGCCAAAATGTGTGGCTTAAAGACGATGGAGCTACAGCACACATTACAAATTCAGCCAAGTATTTCAAGATGTGCTGCCACTTTAACAAACAAGTAGAAATCACAGTCGGTAAGAAACAGACAATACCAGCATATGGCTGTGGGGATATTGACATGTGCGCTACGATTGGAAACGTACAAAAATTTATTGAGCTCTCTGATGTAATGTACGCACCAGAAATTGGCAAAAATTTGTTATCAGCTTCAAAGGCAATGAAGCGAGGAATTTCGAACTTTGGTGATTTGGACAATATGATTTATCATTTCTTTCACGAGGAGACCCAGGTAATATATTTTTAGAGGTCCCATGTTCATCAAATGAACTCTTTGAACTACGTGCGAAACCAGTCAAGCCACAAGGGGGTTCTACTGCTGCAACTTGGTTGACAATGAAATGACAACTCCTTTTCCTGAAATGGCATTGAAGACGACAACAAAATTGCCATTATCACTTTGGCATCGATGACTTGGGCATCAAGAAATACAGTACTGGAAACAGTCTCTGCGCTAAAATGGTATAGATTTCATCAACAAGGGACTATTTTGTGAGCCATATGCATATAGTAAACAAAGTCAATTAACATTTAAATCAAAATGATTCAAAACAAAAAAGTCTGGTGAAATAATACATGCAGACTTACTCGAATCAGCAGTCTTATCAAGAGGTGGAAAGAAGTACATGTCAGTAATTAAGGATGATTACTCTTTAATTCTACTTCAACATGTAGAATTTCTGAGACATAACGATGAGGCTGTGGATAAAATCAAGCAGTTTCTTGTTTGGACCAACAAAAATGGTATAAATGTAAGAGAACTGGTCACAGATGGTGGTCGTGAGTTTGACAGTGATAAATTGGGGAAACTTACTGATGATGCAGGCATTAAGCTGAGAATCACTATGCCATGTACACCTGAACAAAATGGATTGGTTAAAGGTCACAGATGGTGGTCGTGAGTTTGACAATGATAAATTGGTGAAACTGACTGATGATGCAGGCATCAAGTTGCGAATCACTATGTGTCATATACACCAGAAGAAAATGGATTGGTTAAAAGAGAGACTCGTACAATAATGGATGCAGTTCGCACTATGATCAAGGATTCAGGCCTACCGCAGTTCCTATGGGCAGAAGCAGCATCTACAGCTGTCTACGTTCTCAATCTAACCAGACCAAGTAAGACCATGGGAAAATCTGTGTTTGAGGAACAGTTTTTTTCGCAAGCTGGCAATCAACAGAATTCAAGTTTTTGGATCAGCTTCATTTGTACATGTACCAAATGT